TTCAAATCTCACAGTCACAGCGCCCGGGTCTCAGCCTCTCATTCATTGGTTGAGTCAGCAGGTCACATTCTTTTTAATGATAACACTTTAATCCCATTTAATTCTATAATCACAGTTAATAAATGGCCCTCAACACCTAAGGTTGGTGTCAGGGATTTGAAAGCAGCACCTAGCTTTACATCAAGCAACATGGGGGCAACGAGCTGATGTTGAGATCAGAAGCGTCTTTTATATCAGTGGAGAGATTAGCTTGCTTTCTTAGCAGTTTTCTCAACGATGTGTAATCAAAGGGCGATGACTGCAAGAGAGGGATTAACGTGGTGTTTTACTTGTAACTCAGAGATTGCCAGAGTGCATTTATTCAGATTTGGTTTTTCCTCCCATTCTTTAATACCTTCACTCACATCCATGTTTGCCAGCATGTCACAATATGTCATCCCTGGGTCTTCACTGAGTCATCTGCAACATTGATTGAGACTCTTCTGTTTATTGCTGACAGCCTTCTTTTATATGCTGCTGGCGATCTGTCATCCATTCTCTCCCTCTCCCACTACTTCTTATCTCCCATGGTAAAACGTCCTACCCTTTTCTTAAATTCGATATCATGCAAAGACTTGAGATTCTATAATACATCGAACTGCTGGTTTTCTCAGAACTCTCTATTGGAGAGGGGAGAAACAGATGGACAATCTCCAGTTCTCCATGGGGAGGCAATGTGGCCACCCTTAATTCCTCTACAGGGAGCAAAATGTTGTTCTAACAAATCCCCAAATGCACCTACTTTTTTTCTTGCTCTTTCAGTGAATCCTTTTTGCTTTTTATTGTTTTTTTTTCCTGTATGAAAATGCAGCTTTGTGGCTGGCAGGGTGCTCACTGCCAGCCTGTCTTTGAACAGCTTGCTTGCCCTGGGCCTGTCCAAGATGCCATTGTCTGTCTGTGTGTGTGTGTGTTGTGTTTTTTTAAAAAATTTTATTATTTTGTTTTTTTCTTTCCTGTCTGCTTGCCCGCCTGTCTCTCTTTACACTAGTGATGAGCAGGTTGTTGCCTCTAAACAGACTCCAGTGCAGAAATCCCAGGAGAAGAGGCAGCCAGCAAGGAGCACAGAAACTGATACATGTACGAGCAATCTCACTGATGAATCAGATTAGGCATGACAACACATACAGTCAAGTAAACAAGCATACACTCAGAGGCTGCAATACATACACTCACTATTAAAAGCCACCAGTGGTAGCAATACAGAGATGATCGCTGTTTGTTTACAGGGCTCCTTTAACGGTATAAATATTTTGGTTCATGTATGCTATCATAAACCTAGATGGTTCAATGAAACACATTGATTGGATATGTTTAGGAGAGCAGAGCTGGCAGAGGGTCTGATATTCTAGTCATAAGGAAAGATTTGCCATAGGGTTAATTTATCTGCAGTGCAGTATTGATGGAGAAGTCCTATAGACGATAAATCCTGAGTGGTTGTTACAGCATAAAATGATAATGGCCCGGGCGTAGCATTCTCCTCAGCATCTCAAAACAAATTTGTAGGGACGCTCAGTCAGCTCTCGTACGAGTAAACAAAACTTGGCCTGATGCAGCAGTATGCAAATACTTCTCTTATGAAGCTTTTACATCATGTCAAATGAAAAACGAAGGGAATAAAAGAAAGGTTCAGGTGGGTGGGTGGGCGCCAACCACAGAAGAGGCACATTCTGTTTTGTGTTTGTCTGTAGAAACCTCCATTTAAGAACATGGTAGGTGAACTAAAGCAAGCCAATTAATTGATTATGATTCTAGAAGGGAACCACGACCACTTAAATAACAATTTAATCATTGTAATTTGATCAAGAGAGAAGAGAAAGCCTTCTACCTTCTCAGCATATGTTCAGTTTTATTGCAAGGCTTCTTAAATCTTGTAAAAAGCACTCAGGATGACCTCGCTGTTGAAAAATGCTATATACAGAACCCACGCTTGCCTTGGCTTTTTATATAGTTAGCTATTCAGAAGAATAACATAAGAACGTTTTACTAGATGGTTATTCATCATACAAAGAGTAGTGGTCTACAGTCTCCTCTAAATTACAAATTATTTTCTTTTAAAGGTAAACAGCTAACCTGCGTGTTTACTGTGCTTCTGTACAGCTAGTGGTAATACTATTTGCAAAGCTGATACCTGAATGGAACTGTGCACACAGAGATCTTTGACTTTCACATTATAACTGCTTCCCACGGCTGCTTTTCTTCAAACAATATGTTCTTACCACACCGATGAGTTAGGCAAGCTAGCCCTGAACTGTAGTATATTTTACTACGGTATCTAGTTGTGAATGGCACAATATACTGTACCTGAAGTATCAAGTATGCATAATGACCGATTTTTAAAAACTTTGTTATGACTGTGCAATTGTAATTGTGATGCATTAGCATTTGAGCAGCAGTCTAATTACTTGATAGTTTATTTCGCTGTTCATTTATATTAAATGAAAAATTCTAAAATACAGAAAAGAAGTAACAATAACTATAAAAACACCCGAATATCTATTATATCTAATTTTATTCAAAAGTACAAAGTTAAAAAAAAAAATACCTTGAAAAAAGTGTTAAGTTTAGGGATGCATAAAATATCTGTACCATACTGACATTTGGAAGTTGAATAACTATACTAGATCGAACCAGCAGAGCGTTCACAGGCACTGTATCAAAAGCGGTGTTAATGTAGAGCAGCACAGAGGTTTCTCTTTCTGTGCAACAATTGTGCAAGCTCGTCACTTTCCCATTGCGATAACGACACTCCACGAACATCATTGTCTGCTTAAAGGAAGAAAAAAAAAAATCCATTCAGCAGTGGGATTACTCAGACTGAAATCATAAAACTAAGCCACCGAGCTGATTCCCATTTCCCCCAGCAATCAGCTAGCTGGATCTGCTCTGCGTCATGATCCTCTCTCAACAGGCACTGACCTTGATGGATTGGAGCAACATTATGACACGCAGACACCAGCGCCTGCACACCGGTTCTGTTCGAACTCAGCCACCAGTCTGCCACAGATTAAACTCTATCTGTCGACAATCATTGGTTAATAGAACTACTACAGCAGGTAGAAGCAGCGGGTTTTACCACATAGCAGACAGTGGGTGCCATTTTTGGCATGATTGCCCCCGTGGGAGACGGTCCATTCCTGTTTCAATGTATAATGGCCCGATAGGAGGCAGCTGCAGAGTGAAGTCCAGCAGCTTCCCTGAATGCCTCATGACTCATCTATATTGGCAGAGCTAGCTGGATTATTTCAATTAGCTCTAACAAAAAAACAATCCCACGCTGAGATTGTCACTGAAACAAGGGGCAAAACTGAGCACGCTGCTGCTTTGAAGGTTAGCTTCTGCAAAAGCTACATTTTCCCCCTCTTTGTAGAAAAAAAAAGCCAAGGCAGAAAAATGAATGATGATGATTATCGTCGCATGTTGAGGAGGAAAGAGCTCAACATAAAAAAGAAAGAAAAAATCATTAACGGGAACAAAGACAGGAACAGAATAACATCAAACAGATTACTGCCCCGCATCCTTATTATTGTTTACAGGGAGAAAGCAATTAAAAACGCAACCATTAATATGCCTCATACGTGATGTGTAATGAGTGTTCTAAGCTTTTCTTAAAAGCTGAAGCATATTCCAACACTTTGAACGGAAACGTATTTCGATATAGTCCCAGAATTGTAAAGGGAGGAAATTTGCGGCTCAAGAATTAAATTAGACACAGCAAATTATTACTAAAAGCTATTCTGTTTTAAACTATGACTCTGGGATCAAATTAGATTCATAAAAAACAAGTGAAACTAACAGTCATTGAGGGGATATTGTGAGGCAAAGAGAAGCCAATATCTAAATGAATGTTAACGAGCAGAATCCAATTCAGGAACTGATTGCCTTATAAGCAGGCGGCAGCAGGCAGGGGTGCAGGCTGGAGAGGAGCAAGCGAGCAGAGGAGATGCATGGCATAATAGCCACTCATCTATTCATGGTAATTGTGTTTCCCCTACTACAAGGACTGGTGGACCTTTCATTTTCTCCTCAGGCAATGGACGTGATAGAGGAACGGAGGGGTTTTGGGTTGTTAGGAGAGGATTAAAAGGCTGCATCATCAGTGGTCTCTTCAAATGGCTGCTCACACTCAGACCTCTCGCTACCTTGGGCTCTCGGGCAGCTTCAATACACAAAGATTTTCAAACGAGACAGCATCAGACGTTGCAACCAAACAATGCCAAATAGGGCTCTTCAAATAGGCAGGGTTGCTGCTATGTCTCATAGGCCTTAGGTGATCCCAAACTGAGTGAGTATAGGAAAAAAGAAAGAAGGTTTGGTTCCAAAATTAGCTATGGTGAGTCAAACGCATACTTAAAAAAACACCAGTATTAGCAAAAACCTGAAAGTCTTAGATAATAAATTATAGACGGATTAAATGTTTCTTGATTTTATCACTTCACTGATAAAGTGGAGCTTTTTCTCCACAAAGCGTTGCCTTCTGCAACTGAAAAATAAATGTGTAAAAAAGGAACACATTAATTTAAACCTGATAAAAAAGAGCTAAGAGGACCTGCAGAGTTCTGGAGGTTAACGCTTTTTACGCTACACATCAGTCATTCGACACTGAAACGTTGGCAGCACAAAGACACAAAGATATCCTGACTGTAAGTATTATAAACAAACTACAGAGACTACATTTCCCATAATGCTAGATGTTCTGTTAACCTAGCCTGACAAGTACACAATTTTTATTACACATAATGATCTTGCCTCTCAGCCAAAGATAACTCAAAGCATGTATTTAGATGCAACTAGTGTTCAAGAAGACTGCTAAATAAACTTTGGTATATAATAAAATAAGTCCTTTTAATATCTGCTGTTTTAGTCTGCTACTACTGCAAGCGAAAAAAAAGGACTTGAGGTAGAGTGTAAGTGTAGGCGGTGATATAATGAGCATGCCTATACACTGAGGCTCAGAGGCTCACCTGCTCTAATATAGTGTTGATCCTATCCACCTCGCAGTCAATCACATAGCGCTTCTCCTGCCTCCTGTCCATCTCCTCAATGATGCGCTTGAACTCGGCTGCGTCCGTTGTGCTGCTAACAGAGCGAGCGGTCACCTGCCAGTTGTTAGCGACTGCTGCCTCCATGATGGCCTGCAGTATGGAGAAACCTACAGGGAGAGAGAGAGTGAGAGCGCGTAACTCAGAGGATTAAACAAAAAAATCGACCAGCACACATCAAGAGTTATGCAGAGCCGAGTGGCTTCTAATTTATTCTGGAGAGGTTTTTGCTTGAATCCAGAGGTTAAAGGCCATCTCATTACAATCTAAAATAGCATTACAAAGTCTGCAAGCCCACTAAAATATTTTCTAGAGTCTAGACTTTGTGTGCCTGTGTGTATGTGTGTTTAATTCACATTTGCATATTGACAAGGCAGTATCATAATGAAGTGAAAGGACAGGAATCGTATCTCCATATTATTAAAAGATCAGTGGGTGATGTTATTGCACTTGGCATCAATTAAATTATGGCATTTAGCTCAGCCACATGTTAACTTTGACAGTGCGGTGAAACACATTGCAGCCTGTGTCTCCTTGGAGGATCCTGCCAACTCATTTTAAGATAAAGACAATGAAAGATTTATCCAAGCCAGTGGTAGCAAGTGATCATTATAATACTAGAAGAATGGAAAATGAGCCCTTCTAATGATTAATTCACACATGAAATATTTTCATTTAACAGAGTGCTCAGAAACACTATGGTCAAATCACATACCACACAATGAATAATGTAACCATATTTCTGGAGGGATAGATTGCATGTAGGACAAGCTGAAATAAAAATGGCTTAAATCATCTCCAGTGTATAACAAATGGGCATGAACGTGATGAAGATTGTGAAAATCAAACATCATTAGGCCAAGCAGAATGCAGTCATAACATGTGAAATAAGCTTATTTTTCAAATTTTTTTATAATATTCACATGATCTGTCATGTGCGTAGCTGATACAGAAAGGGAAACAAGGAGAAAAAATAATCTTTCAGCAACAGCATGCCCTGGCAAACATGTAGACAAATATAGATTTTGTTTCTGTGCAACATCATCACAGCGATGTTGGGGGCAAAAAGTAACTCTTCAAGGCAGCGGAGCCAGGCTCCAAAGCAGAGACAAGGATGAAAAAAAAGATGGATGGGAAATGTTAAATAATCCAAGGGAATCATGTGCCTATGCTAAGAACAGAAGAGGAATATGAACCCAGACCACTAAATGAATTCCTGTCAGTCCTAAAGCCAGCAAGGTTCTTTACAGTGCTTGGACCCTTATTCTCAATATGGTTAATCCTTTGGACATATCCCAAACTTTAGCTTTTGTACACAAAGACAAACAACATAACTGTATGCACATCAGCATTCTCACATTACAAAGAATAAGTTCATTAATATAATTTATGGTCAGAATTACCGAGGCTTCTTGTATCATCAATAACAATCCCAGATTTAACTGACTATCACAGCTAGCTAACAGCCCATGTTGCTTCTTTTTATAGTTAGTTAGTGTTTATTTTGTTGGCTTAAGTTTTGTTTTTGGTGCTATAAACATTAAAACATTATTGAATTGATTTGAACTCAATGCCTACAGTACCTTATGTCTGGTACAGCATGCTTACAGCAGTTATAGCAGGTCGAGAAGTATGCTAACCTGCTAACTTTCACATTAGCTTCTGCACACAAAGACAAATAACATAACTGTATGGGCATAAGCATTCCCACCATTACAAAGAATAAGTTCATTGATATAATTTATGGTCAGCATTACCGAGGCTTTTTGCATCATCAATAACAATCCCAGATTTAGCTGACTGTCTCACAGCTAGCTAACAGTCCATTTAGCTTCTCTTTATATAATTAGGTTTAGTGTTTACTTTTTGGCTTAAGTTTTGCATTTGACACTGTAAACATTTAAGCCTTATTGGATTGATTCGAATTGAATACCTACAGTACCATATGTTTGGTACAATATGCTTATAGCAGTTGTGGCAAGTCGAGAAGCATTCTAACCTGCTAACCTTCACATTTACTAAATTAGCAACAAACATTAACACTAAACCCATGCTACGATATTGTTAAATAAGGAAATGACAGACACACTCAACATCCAACTAAAAACATTCAAAGCTTGCTAAATTCAAACCAAGAGCATGCCAACAATATATTTTTTATAGTTAGCTTCTTTTAGCCAAACTTTGGCAGGTTTAGTGCATGGGCCACTTCATTCAGACACCTGATACTTTTGCCTGCTAAACATAATTTTACATCAATATGGAAATGAAAGGCAAACAAACAGATTCAATTTTGATATGGCATTTTAATATGAAGTCTGGAAGAAATTACAGACAACATTATTAAGAAGTCAATAACAATGTTTAACTTCAATCTGGTGACCGACTGCCAGAGCGGTTTTCTCCTTTAAAAAAAACCGAGCAGACTTTGTAACCATTAAAACCTGTCTGTGGAGGCTGTTATGGAAATTGTCTGACATAATATGAAATAAGTGGGAAAAGTAAACATTTTACTTTTATTTATTTATTTTTTTACTTTACCTTTGTTATTTATTTTGAGTTATTTTTCTGTACAACTTTATCTCCGTGAACCGGCTGCAGACAGCCAACAAAGCCTGCACAGAGACCAAAGAAGCAACAACAGCAGCTCTAACAAGGAAGCCTCTTTGTGATTCACTGCATTTGTCTTCTGCATGTCTTTTCTTTTTCATTTGGTCAAGTAGCTCTCTTTTTTTTGTTGCTGTTATTTTTTGGATTTCCACATACTTTGAGACTACTGTACCATGTGTGTCTGTGCTCCTGGTGTGCCAACATTGCTTTAGCACACAGCCACATCTCCACCAGACGACCTTTTGGCAAGCAGTACAGCAAGTAGTGGAGACCGACACACACTGTGTCATCTGTCCAGAGGAGCGGTGGCATACTGCCTAGAGACATTAAGCTGCCAGATCTCAAGGTTATGTGGCAACCTGGTTATCAGGTGAAAGGGCTCTAAGGATTCAGCTCATAGCTTATGAATGTAACCTGTAGCAAAACACAGTTTACATACTACTGTATGTAAAGAGTGAGTCTAGCTAACAGGTCTTACCAGAATTAAAGGTCAAAAACGTTACACTGTAGTGAGTTAAAAACAATATGGATATAGATATAATTTGTCAGAATTATTACTTTTATCAATCGCAGCTGGTTACATAAAAAAAGAAAAAAAATGAAGTGAAAAACATTTTCTAAACTATCATCATTTTTACATGAGTGGAGCAGAGCACTCATGTGCTAAACTTCCTCAGATCTCCTTTACCTAAAGCACAAGTTACAGAGTGGAGGTTTGAATAACATGGATGCATTATTCATTTTCCTGAGGCATATGCTCACAACCTCACCAACCACAAGCCAGCTGGATAGCATGGCAGTCTTCCCGGCAATAAAAAGCTTCTCACATTAAGAGATGTCACGCAGATTAACTGGGTCAAAATGGTCTCTGTTTGTTTGGGAACTGTTGAGAAGGCTGGTAAAGGTAAAAATGCCAGTGTATCATTTACCACACGCTAATCACATTGGGTGTACGACATGCCATGCATGTGGGTTAAAATGATAGGGTGCTCATTGTTTCAGGGCTGCGTGTATGTATTTGTTTAGGGTAGTGTAATATGTGATTCCCGTGCTCCTTGAAAGGCACAATAGTATGTCTCAGAATAATTTTAAATGATAGAAAAACTAAATTCTCGCAGCGGGAATGATTTGGAAATTTGGGCTTTACATATGCAAGGATCTACAGTGTGCTGTCCAGAAAATGAAACAAACAAAAAAAAATCCTATTTTCACTTTCGAGATGAAGTGGGAAGTGAAAAACATGAATTATGCTTTTATGTGGAGGAGGGATATACTGTCAATCAGATTACAATCAAATAGTTCTTTTATTTTGAAATTGCTGATTTGTGCAGCATTTTGTCTCCCCCTCTGCCTCTGGCAAACCCTGGACTGTGTGGGAACAATTGGATTCATTTAAGATTCACAGAAGATTCCATGCCTGCCTAGTTTTACATTTGTATGGAAATTAAGAGATGGAATCTAGTGGTGGTAAATAGTCTGTCCAGAAAAGGATTAGGCCTGCTTTTTGCTGCTGTTTTCTCAAAAGTCAGCATAAAAGTTTGCATGCATTCTGATTGGGACTATCAAAAAACCGAACAGTATCCTTTGAGCGCAACTTAATCTGACAGCCCTGAGAAGACTGATAGTTCCTTCTTCATCTACACCAGCAAGTAAATATAATAAATGTCGTTGGTACTTCATGCAGCTCTTCCAAGATTACATCAGCCACTTACCTTTCTTGGACCAGAGTCCATCTCCAGATTCAGCCAATCAGTAAATTAATCTTCCTAAAGAGCACTGGAGACCCTCATAAATGCTTTTGTTACTAATATTTATTTCCAACATGGAGAAAATCCATAAATTCTATACACCTTCCTTTTTTTTCCCCCATCAACAGGAACCCCACATCTGTGTTGCATCTGAAAATGTAATACAGTCAACTACATAAATTATGGACGACAACAACAAGGCTTCCTTATCACCACCTATAAATCCCTGCAGTACAAATCCAGCGGCATGCAGCGGCTTCTGCTGCAAATGCTCCTCGGGGCTAATCATGCCATCGAGACAGGGAGACTTTTCAAGCACCGCTTGCGACTCAAACACGGCGTACAGCGTAATAAAATGTGGACAACATCTATAAGCGTGGTGACTCTAACTACACATTCAAGATACAGCCTGGTCACAAAAACATTGGTGCACATAAACATTTTATATAACTTTTAAATACTATAGAACTGCACAACCCACCATTTCATCAGCGCTCAAATGATAGATTATAAAACACTTTATTTCATCAAAATTTCTTTAAAATTTTATCACTACCCTTATGCAAACTCATTCTTTATATATAGTTATCTGATATTTTGTTCTGTATGTATGTGGGAAATGAACCTCTGTGCTTTGGGGCTGATGAACAACAATTCTGCGTCCTCGCCCTAAAGAACGAGGCGGTGACGTTAGCCACCAGTAATGCTGCAGTGGGTTTTTTTCCACTGATAAAGTGCACGAGTGTTTCTAC